GTACAGCCGTTGGTGCGCACCACTATCTCATGTGCTTGCCTTCAGCGTCTTGTGCAAACTAGTTGGAGCTTCACATCGAGTGGCCGATTCAGGATGCGTGAGCGGAATCCGGATTGCTCAGGTACAGCCGTTGGTGCGCACCACTATCTCATGTGCTTGCTTTCAGCGTCTTGTGCAAACTAGTTGGAGCTTCACATCGAGTGGCCGATTCAGGATGCGTGAGCGGAATCCGGATTGCTCAGGTACAGCCGTTGGTGCGCACCACTATCTCATGTGCTTGCCTTCAGCGTCTTGTGCAAACTAGGTGGAGCTTCACATCGGATGTCTGATTTCGTTGACGTAGGATGGACGAAGAGGAAGTGAGGTTAATGTATACCCGATGCAGGATTCGAACCTACGACCATCTTCTCCGTAGGCAGACATTTTATCCAGCTGAACTAATCGGGCGGTGAAGTTAGTCACTTTGATTGATATTAAAGTTGAATACTCTTCCGAAATGGTTTAGGCGGTAATTGGTCAATCCGTCAGGATACGTGAGCGGAATTCGGATTGCTCAGGTACAGCCGTTGGTGCGCACCACTATCTCATGTGCTTGCCTTCAGCGTCTTGTGCAAACTAGTTGGAGCTTCACATCGAGTGGCCGATTCAGGATGCGTGAGCGGAATCCGGATTGCTCAGGTACAGCCGTTGGTGCGCACCACTATCTCATGTGCTTGCCTTCAGCGTCTTGTGCAAACTAGTTGGAGCTTCACATCGAGTGGCCGATTCAGGATGCGTGAGCGGAATCCGGATTGCTCAGGTACAGCCGTTGGTGCGCACCACTATCTCATGTGCTTGCCTTCAGCGTCTTGTGCAAACTAGGTGGAGCTTCACATCGGATGCCCGATTTCGTTGACGTAGGATGGATGAAGAGGAAGTGAGGTTAATGTATACCCGATGCAGAATTCGAACCTACGACCATCTGCTCCGTAGGCAGACATTCTATCCAGCTGAACTAATCGGGCGATGAAGCTAGTCACTTTGATTGATATTAAAGTTGAATACTCTTCCGAAATGGTTTAGGCGGTAATTGGTCAATCCGTCAGGATACGTGAGCGGAATTCGGATTGCTCAGGTACAGCCGTTGGTGCGCACCACTATCTCATGTGCTTGCCTTCAGCGTCTTGTGCAAACTAGGTGGAGCTTCACATCGAGTGGCCGATTCAGGATGCGTGAGCGGAATCCGGATTGCTCAGGTACAGCCGTTGGTGCGCACCACTATCTCATGTGCTTGACTTCAGCGTCTTGTGCAAACTAGGTGGAGCTTCACATCGGATGCCCGATTTCATTGACGTAGGATGGATGAAGAGGAAGTGAGGTTAATGTATACCCGATGCAGGATTCGAACCTACGACCATCTGCTCCGTAGGCAGACATTCTATCCAGCTGAACTAATCGGGCGATGAAGCTAGTCACTTTGATTGATATTAAAGTTGAATACTCTTCCGAAATGGTTTAGGCGGTAATTGGTCAATCCGTCAGGATACGTGAGCGGAATTCGGATTGCTCAGGTACAGCCGTTGGTGCGCACCACTATCTCATGTGCTTGCCTTCAGCGTCTTGTGCAAACTAGGTGGAGCTTCACATCGGATGCCCGATTTCGTTGACGTAGGATGGATGAAGAGGAAGTGAGATTAATGTATACCCGATGCAGGATTCGAAACTACGACCATCTGCTCCGTAGGCAGACATTCTATCCAGCTTCTTGTGCAAACTAGTTGGAGCTTCACATCGGATGCCCGATTTCGTTGACGTAGGATAAACGAAGAGGAAGGGAGATTCATGTATACCCGATGCAGGATTCGAACCTACGACCATCTGCTCCGTAGGCACACATTCTATCCAGCTGAACTAATCGGGCGATGAAGCTAGTCACTTTGATCGATATCAAAGTTGAATACTCTTCCGAAATGGTTTAGGCGGTAATGAGGAGTACCATTTAGGTACGGAGGGTGAAATAGCCACGCACAGGAGATGATATTTGCGTTTCTGGCGAGCGCAATTTGGTTTTGTGTTATGGGTTCATGGAACCGAGTGATTCATCAGGTTGGGGACTAAGATGAGTTATGAACGCAGAACTCATGTTCTTTGGTAGTTGAGAGTAACGTTCTCTCAATTTTTACTTGCCCCTAATTCCAGCTATGCCACTATCAGAAGCGGCCGCGGAAATGGTTGAGCGTCACTGCAGTTCTGTTGACGGCTTGTTTGAGGCGGTGTCGGCGGCCTTGGATAATGCGAAGATCACCCAGGTTATGATGATATCGAGTTTGACTACGACTAGTATCGATGAGCTCACTAGTAAAATAGCTACCGGTGATCTGAAGGACATGAGGCTTCTGGTCGATACTTCCCTTCGGGCCTGCGTAAAGGGTTGTCAATTCCAACTTGACCTCTGCAAGGCAGGACAGAAGGTGATGCCAGTGAACAAGAACGAAAAGGAGTGGGCTACCCAGATGCGAAAGAGAGCCATCGTCCTCAAGAACCTTCTGCTATCTGATCACATTCCCGTGGAGCTAATGCCCCCACCTACTGTGTGGAAGAGATTGACTGATAACCCCTCATCCTTCGTCAACTTCGGCAAGGAGCTAGTAGAAGCTAAGCCTGGCAAAGACTCTGGATCCCGAGTTAATTCGGACCCAATGAAGGTCGAATTTCTCCTCAACGATGTACCTCAGTCTCTTACCCTCCCTCGGGAAGACAAGAGCACTATGGGTGGCGCACTATGGTCCCAGTGTTTTCAGCGTTACTGTGTGGCTCTCATGTTGGCAACGGTTACTCCAGAGAAGGTTCAGGACAAAGCCAAATTGGATATCGATTGGTTATCATTACAAGGTTATGGCTATCGGGTATCGCAAGTCGCTTCTCTTTATGGATGGGAAATGGCACAGGAGGTCGACGAATCCTTCAGGAGATTCATCGAGAGAGCTTACTCCGAAGCCCATATTTCGCTGTGTGATTGCTTCAATAATATCTCTAAGTTCTCTCAGCTGAAGGTGGACGCTAGACTCAATACCAAGGACCTTCAGAGAGAAGAAGGCCGCTCTCGTGCTCGTGGTGGCGGTGGTGGTAATCTCAGAGACGCCAAGGCTACGAATGGTCAGAAGAAGAAGCGCAAGCGAGGTTTATGCTACAAATTTCTCGAGGGCGACTGCTCATACGGTGATAACTGTAACTTCCTGCATGAGAGGTCGGGTACGACTGCTACGTCGAAGGCACCGGCTGGAGGCAAGAAGAAGTGAGTGGAGAAGTTCATCGCTTATCTGTGAGCGAATATGAAACTTGATGTGAACCGATCGCATGTGCGTTTCTTTCCGATCGAATTGCTCTTGTGTTGGTGACCCGATGCGCTATGTTGAGAAAGGACATAGGATAGATCGGGGCGGTCTCCGCAGCGAGCAGAAGGTATTCAGTGCCTTGACACGACTGCAGAAGGGAGACGCGAGCTCTAGCCAGGCGATGCCGGGGATGAGAAATATCCTCGCGGCGATCGTGTGCTAGGCTCAACGTGCGGGTCAGGCTCGCTCGCGGTGTCCTTGCCCATCCACGCAGTAGTTATGTGGGGCAAGTGAATGGTCGTAAGCCCGGGTAATGGGACGTGGTGTTCTCACACTACTTCTAATGGACTGAAATGTCAGTTGTTTGACATGTGTTCAGTATGCAGCTCTAAGGCGATCAAAGGAGTGATCCTTGCAATCGTTCGCTGCGGACTCGGGTCATCCCGAGAAGGGCTATCGTATATAAAGTAGTGATATTCCTCGTGGAATCGCACTCCGCTTTCTTCTCAATGAAATCTGCCTTCGTCATATTTTCTCCTCCTTTACGTGATTCTTTCTCAGGGAGTATTGTGGCAACATTCGCCCCCTGTGCACCTCCTTGGCAACCCAAGGTTTGGACAGCTGCTTCGATATCGAAGCACATGAGGCTGACGCGCTCGTCGATGGGAGCGGTATTGGGGCCGGAGTGTGCAGTGATGCTCCATTGGATCCTACGTCGGAGATAGAGTCTATAGGGGAAATGCTCCGGGAAGAGGTGGAGCAGCTCTGTGCGTCGACTCTGGGAAGGAAACTAGACGAGTGGATCTCACTGGGTCGTGAGGGTCAGCTTGAAAGCGATTTCTGGGATAAAGTGAAGCCGCAGCTAAGTGCGAGCGCAGTCAAGTTACGCCTGAGGTGGGCTGACAAGCTCGGGGTTAGCGCACGCAAAGGGGCAGCAGGCGGTGATATCCGTGTTCCCTTGATGAAGAAGATACTAGAACTGATGCAAGGCGAAACTTCGGAAGTCTTGGATGTCGAGTATCTGGATCTTATGGATCAAGGCGTGCCGTTTGGTACCACTAGCGATATACCAATCAGTAAATGCTGGCCGGCCAAAGTACGGTTGTCACCACATGGGCGGTACCCCATAACACGGGAAGTATGGGACAATTACTCATCTGCACAGCTCTTCGCGGAAGAGGTTGCTAGCTCGTTAGAGAAGGAGGTTGAATTGGGCCGGATGGTCCCGATCTCACCAGCCGAGGAGGGCAAGATCCGTGCGACATGTCAACTCG